TTCTTAGGGGTCAGAAGTGAGTTATCACACCTTTGTCTGTCCAAATACTCTGCAATACCTGGAGCAGCAGGACTTCAGCTCTGGTCTGGATGACAACTCTCTCAAGTCCTTCTGCTTTTGTCCACAGGCTCTTTCAGGATCACCCTGAGACCTTGGATCGCTTTGAAAAGTTCAAAGGCCTGAAGACCCCTGATCAGATGAAGGGCTCCGAAGATCTGAAGAAACATGGAGTTACTGTCCTTACCCAGCTGGGCAAAATCCTGAAGCAGAAGGGTAATCATGAGTCAGAGTTGAAGCCCCTGGCTCAAACCCATGCCACCAAGCACAAAATCCCCGTCAAATATCTAGAGGTATGAAAAAATCTTGTAATCTTTATGTCTGGTGTGTAGTGAATGTGTGCAAGACAGCTATTGAGAGCTGTGCTTTTATTTACTGATGGCTGGTTGGACTTCAGTGAGCTCTCCCTCAAGTCTGAGGTCTCAGAGTACAGGCAGGAGGAGGCACAGAGAGGGCTCATGCTATGTGAATGGTATGTGAACCTCCAAGTTTAGATTTCCCATTCCAAACACCACACGCAGTCTGAGCAACCCTTGACAGTAATAAACCAGCCCATGCAGCCTCTCCGTGCCTGGGAAACTACATTACATAAGAACTGTCAATGGCTGGACACAAGGGATGTACAATTTTAGCATAAGCCCTGGAGGATCCATTGGAGACCAAGACCCACAAAACTAAGTGTTGTACAAACACAGGGCATGAATTTTCAGCCTTAATGGATGAGGCAGACAAAGAGTGGGAAGGGCCATGATCTACTCAAGGTCATGAAGCAGATCAGCATCAGAGCTAGGAATAGAGCCCAGTTCTTATGCCCAGCCCAGGCTCCTTGCGCACTAGACCTCACTGTCTCTCCAGAGACTGCGGGAAGGGCTACTGAATTAGCTCGGAGATATTTCCAGGCTCTGCAACCTATTTCTTAGTCTGGCTTTTCTGAAAATAAACCTTGACTGTCCCTTCTGTTTTTCTCTCTCTCTCTTCCCTTCCTCACAGTTCATTTCTGAAGTCATTATCAAGGTCCTTGCCGAAAAACATGCCGCAGACTTTGGGGCTGATTCCCAGGCTGCGATGAAGAAGGCCCTGGAACTGTTCCGAAATGATATGGCCAGCAAGTACAAGGAGTTCGGTTTCCAGGGTTAGCACACACGCACAGAGGGACACCATGATGGAGGCCTGGCCATGCATCTTAGAATAGCTTCCCCAGCACTGTTTTGGACATCTCACAATTGGCCATCCAAGATGTGTGGGAAAGCTTTGATGAGAGGCCAAGAGTCACTCCAAGCAGTGTAGAGACACTCAGAGTGATATCCATGATAAACCATTGTTTCCTGCCTTTATGTATGCAAAAGAAATATACTGCTTTCTTAGGAAAAATAGTTCAAGAGGTTATCTGTGAGCTTTTGCCTACCCCTATTCCCTTTTCCTTTCCGTCTCCCCAAACCCCAGCCTCATCCAAGAGGGAAATGGCATGGCCAGAGATGAAGGGATGTGGAGGAGCAAAGGGAGTGTTGAGGGGCGTGGTGAATGAGAGGGTGAAGGGATGACTCAAATGGTTTGAAAGGGATGTCAGGATGAGAAGCAGAGGTGCAGTGTCCCATTCCTCCCACAGGTGAGACTGTTAGCAGGTTACTGTGGACAGCTTCCAGCACAGTATTACCTTGCTTTGTGGGGGGGGTGGACACAACCGGTTGGTCTCCAGGGTCTGTCAGCTTGGAAACCTGCATTAGTTGCTGAACTCGTGTTAGCAAAACTATAAAGAGCAGTACTTCCTGCAATCTGTAGGTTTCTGGCAGCCACCGCTATGCATCTGAAGTTCTGTTGCACTGGGAAGTAAAGTATGTGTTTATCAGAAAATAAAAATTCCTGCACCAGTGTTGTGTGTTTGCTCCTGGCTTTACAGGCGCTCCAGTGAGAAGTGGGGGAGATGGAGAAAGCGGAAAGGTGTTCTGCACACATATCTGACCCCGCATCCTGCGGTGTCAGTCTGTGCCTGGAGCAGCATGTGGCATCTGTCTCAGCCAGGGGACTTGGGGGGACTCAGTTGTCACCACGAGGTCATGACCTGGTTACTGGACTTCACAGACTCAGAGCCTCAGAGCTGGGAGAAGCACTCCCTGACTCAAGGCCATGGCCACCGCCGTGCTGGGGGGAACATGGTGAGGGAAGGCTCTTTGCTAATTTATGGAGGGGCAGCACGTGCGGGTGGCCTTGGGTCCCAGCAGCAGCACAGTGCGTTGCTCCGTCTGGGCAATGCAAAGCAGGGCTGCTCAGCCCAGGAGGAACATTGCAATGGCAGCATATGCTCTTAAGACCCCAAATCTGCTGTGGTGTCTCTGCAGTGCATGTTTACAGAGGCATACCTGTGTCCTGTGGGAGAGCTTGAGGGACAGACACAGCAGCAAGGCGCCTACCTCTGCCCGTTGCCCTCTCCCCGTCCTGGTACCACAGTGAGGTACAGGTGACCTGATTTGACTGAGGTGGGGGAGGGGCTGAGGGACACATTGTGCTCAAGGCTATCCAAGCGTTAGTCAGAAACGGTTGGAGCCTGAAAAGGGGTTTTTGAAAGTCTTGCCCTGACACCCAGGTTCACAACAGACTAGCTGACTCTTTGGGAACTGTGCAGTTTCTCTGGTTGGACCTAGTCAGAGGGGTAGTTATACCCCACAGTGAGCTCTGGGGTCCTCGTTCCCTCCTCTTCCTCCATCCCACCACCCAGTTCAGGGCCTCAGCAGCAGGGTCCTGCAGTCTCCTCTGGCATATTCACTCAAGCTGTCTCCATGCAGAAAGCAAGGTGGATGAGCAGCGTGCAGTCTCTCGGTACATTTGCTCAGGGTGAAGAGCATTCATGGCAGGGTCACATCTTGGCCCAGCAGCAGGGTGCTACAGAGGCAAGCGGCTGGGTCAGGGCTCAGGGAGATGCATAGAGTTGACACAGCTGCTCTTTTCTGGTATGGAGAAAGTAATATGCCTTATCTCCCAGAAACAGTGTGAGGACAAGCATGAGAAAGAAAAATGAGGTGCTCACATTTAGGACTTACGAGCAGGGTCTGGTTCAAAGCACTCCCTGCTATGCTGTGTGCAGTGGAGACGGAGGAGGAGCCACCAGCTCCCTTAAAAATCAGTCCTGAAACAGCGTGATCTTCTCTGTCTTTGGTCAGGGCACAGGCCACAAAATTTCAGTCTCTGAAAGGAGAAGGAATGAATTCCTTCCCAGAACATAGCATCTCTGATTTCTTGCTCTTTACAAATCCTCACTTTACCTCTGGGAGCTTGCTTAGGGTTTCAACCTTTCAGAGGGTCACAAAAGCATATGCTGTCACCTAGATGAAGTTACAGCCAGGTGGTCCCTGGCTTAAGCAACGTGCTTCGGCTGACTCCAGACTAGTCTGTCTGGCTGCGCGGGGAGGGCAACCTATTTAATTAAGGTCTAGAATTGCCTGTCCAACACAATAAGTTTTCCTGCCAGTGACAACAGGCTCTACTTTAGGATTAAAAGCTCTGCTATGGCAGCTGCCTCTGTCAGTCTGAGTGGGACTGGAGCCGTCTCTAGATATTTTTATGTGGGACAATGTGGTGGAGGAGGGAGGGTTTGCATATATGTTGTGCCCAGCTACTGGTTGTTAGGTATCCGAAATAAATGGTGGTCCGTTGGGAGCACTGACCCTTCACCCTGCCTGCCTTACCCTCATGTGTCAGTGCACTAGGGACCATCCTTAAACCTGTGCTGCTCAGATGTGGGGCCTGATGTAGGTTTTCTGGTTGTGCCTGTGACCCAGTGAAGATGTGCAAGCTGAGATGAACCAGCCAGTTCAGACACCAGTAACAGTGGAGCTATCTCCAGCAGGCTCAGTGGGTTGGGATGCTTGTGGTGAAATCCACGTACCTTCACCTTTGCTACTCTGGGTACCGAGTATTCCCTTGGCTGCAGGTCTGACAGAGTGTAGCAATATATGTAATTCCCACAGGGTAAGTCTATAAAGCTCCTGTAACTGCCCCTGCTTTAAGGACAGGGGCAGTTTCCCAGAGGAAAGGGAATGGTGGGGAAGGGATTTTTCAATATTGATTCAGCATTTTTGTTGGAGTCACCCTTTCAACTGTGCTACTAGCACACGTACCTTTTCTGGTTCATGTATGGGACAAAGTCCCTTAGTGGAGATAAACCATATTGGCGTAAGCCCAGAAATTTTCCTGCCTCCTTTCCAGAAACAGCTTTACATAAGGCAGATGGCTCCCAGGGGCTTGTGTCCAGGCCCCCTTCCTGTTAGCACCACTCGGTGTCACATACACGTTCCTGGTCACACAGTGGGATGTGGATTGCGTGGCTGCCAGCCTCCTTGCCCCAGCACGTACACACTGACTACAGGCAGGTCAGGCTTACGGCTGTCCTACGCTTTCCATGCAGTCCTGCAATTTCTTTTATGTTAATAATATTGTTCCTGGCAGCAAATGGGTTACGCACCTGCATCCGCCTTTAGGTTGGAAAACATCCTTGCTGCTTTGCACTTGACATGCTATTCTTCTCCCACTGCAGCGGTTTCCATTGCACAGCAGAGTTCTCGGTGGCACCGAGCCAGTGACCTGTCTGCCTTCTCTCGGGCTTCAGTGTCAGACGCCGCCGGCTCCTCAGGCTCTCAGAGGCAGGGAGCAGGACCTCGCTTCCCAGGCGCTGTGCAAATGAGCCAGGGGTGCAACAACACTGCGGGCTGCACTGCCTCTCCCCCTTGTCTTTGCCTGCTGGTCCTGCCTGGTTCCAATACATCTACCAATGTCAAGTGGCGTCAAGGAGCAAGTGCCGGGGACCATAGTATTAATTCTGTGATCTGTCTCTCAGACACCTCGGTGGGAAAAAGGCATGGTGCTCCAGTGTCTAATTATGTTAAATATTTAGCACATTAACATGAACTGTGTGGCATTTCTTCATGTTTGCATCTCCCTGCAGGGCTGACGTGAGAAAAGGGCAGGGAAGTTTCCAGTCCACATCATAGTCACCAAACAGATCCAGCTGGTTTCTGGGTGTTGAAGTACAGACAGTGGCTAAAGGTAACGTTTATGACACGGTAATTTAATAAGGAGACTCAAATGTTCACCTATTGCACATGCTTTCAGATGAGGATTATTTTTGTCATGTCCCTATGCTTTCTATCACCTGGCCAAAACCTGTCCTGTGTGTCATGCCACTGAGGAAAAGAAACCAGTGGTGTAGCCAGGTGTTTCCTTGATGTAGACTTGCCCATAATGTTTTTTTTTCCAGAAGGTGCATAGTGTCAGAGCATATCCTCCTCCTTCCTGGACTCATTCCTCTCAGGTTTGGTCAAGGCTGCATCCTTGCTTGTTCAGGTTGTGCAGGGCTTAACAATCAGAGTCCATGCTGCTCCTTAGACTGGGCATACACACACACACATATGGATACCTATACACAAGCACCAGTTTCACAACACACACCATTAGCAAAGCTCCTCTGTCCCTATCCTTCAGATTTCAGTGGGATTGTTTGCTGGTTCTTCATTTGAGAGGATGATGTATATTAGTTCTCACATTGTGCTTAAATGAAGTATGGCTGTGAAACCAAGTTTTGTTAAGGTCTAACCAGTCAAGAAGACAGACTGTGCAAGGGCACGGCACCTGGAGAGTACTGGTAAGTAGGGGGCTGTTAAATTTCATGAAGGTGTACCGGCAGAGTCAAGGAGGCCACCTGGAACTACAGTAAGTGAGAAGAGAAATCCCAATCAGCCTGTTTTATCCAACAGGCTAATAAATGAGCATTTGTGAACATGAAAGAGTCACAACAATGCAGCCTTCTTGACCAGCACATAAATTATTCCCTCCCCTGTGGTTATAGGCACACCAAGCCCATCTCCCAGTCCTGTGACTTCTATAAAATCCTTATCCAAATGTCAGTAAAGGTGACCTTGTGGCTTTTTAAAGCAGTACTTTATAGTCACTTGGCTGCACTGTACCAAAGTCCTTTCCCAGTTTGGCTTTCATTCCCTGTAAATATATAAACAGAACAGGCTGCCTCCACCTTACCCTGCAGCCCTGTAGAGACCACCTGTGGTAAGCTGTGTTACATAGGGGCAGGTCTGGGGCTCTGTTGGGCAAGGCAGGTCCTGGCACCCTGGCTGGTAGCTGGGTGGACAAGGCAATGTGGATTTGGGATGCGGAAGGTATTGGAGTCTCCATCCCTCCCACCATGTTCCAGGAAAAGCATCTCCTGCTGAGAGAAACAGCAGTTCAGTGGCCCTGAGCTGGCTGAATGGTCACTTGGGTTATGCTCATGCATATGCAAGCACAAGTGCTGCAAGGTCAGTGGGGACAGCCTGGACATGAGGCTATTCCACTTCGTTTAAGGCACATGTTGTGGGGCTGTGGGGTTGGTTTACTGGATTTGCCCACATCTAGCAAGAGGAGGCTGTTGCTAGTTTGAATACCCTGCAGTCTGGCAGTAGACATGACTCCAAAACAGTTTTCCAGCTAACTACCTTAAGCATTAAAAATGAGTACTACACAGATACTCGTTGAGGAATTTGTGTATTATTTCTCCAGGTTGTAGGGCTGAGAAGGGGGCTGTAGATATGCTGTTATTGGTATCCAAGAAGGCTACTATAAAGCTAATATTCCTGTGTATATCTTAGTTGCAGCCTTATGTCTGGAGTAGAGCTTAAAGAAAACTATGCCCATTTCCCATTTCCCCTCTCCAAGGAAAGCTCAGTATGAATGCAGCTGCTGGGTGCCTGGTCTTATTTTAGATTGTCCTTAAAGCAGGTTCAAATCTTCCAGTGACAGAATAGCTTTGGGTGGAAGGTCTTCTGGATTATTAGCCCTTAATTCTTTATGTCTCCATGCTTAACTTGTGGATTCCCAGTGTGTGTTAGTAATGGTGCTTACATTCATCAAAGTTTTTCTATCATCTTCTGTACTTCCCCAACATGTCTATCTGTTTCCTTCTTCAAGCTAAATTCCAGCATCCAAGCTCTCACCAAAGGGGTGGAAAATTCCTGGAGCTGATACTCTTGCTGAGATCTGGGAGTGCTCTGCCCAGGTCTTGCATGACATCAGGCTTGTCCTCTTGGCGAGCTTTTGGGTTATCTGGAGAGTTAGCTGATAAGGTGTCAGAGTGGGTCTGCATTTTTTCAGTCACCTCTCAGCTGGATGAATTGTCTGGTGCCCTTTGAGGGATGTATTATGTCATGAGTTCACTGTGAGTTGGTTGGGGAGAAAAGAGAAAAAAAAAACAACAACAGAGCTTTGCCTAAACCAGCCATACTGTGTCCCTGCAGAGTCTGTGGGAGAGCCTGAGCTGAGCAAAGATTTTGTACCAGACACGTTCAGACAAGCTGTACAGAGATGGAGGAAAAGCAGGCAGGGCACGCCATGTGCCACGCTTGCAGTAACCCCCCTCTGAGGGCAGATGGATCTGTGGGATCTGTAAGGAAGAATAAAAAATGAAAAGCAGGTGGGGAAATGGAGGCACAGCTGCCTCCCCCCAGTGGCTATTTACTGCTATCGGTGCTTTCTGAAGAGCAATAGCATCCTTCTGACAACCGCTCTGCTGTAACGCCGTGGAGGGACTTTCCTAACACGAGCTGCTTAGCTGTGTGCTTTTGTATGGGAAGAAAGATGGACTTGGAGTTTTCTCATGGTGCTAGCACTACGGATGTGACGCTTTCACAAAGCTGGCCCATAAATCATGAGAAAGAAGCTTTTGTGCATTTCAGTTTGCCTTGATAATAGCACGTATTGCTAACCCAGCTAATCCCCCAGCTAATTTCAGCATGTCACGTTTGAGCTGCTGTCCCTATGTCTTTTGCCGTGTTCCCTCTCGGCTGGAATGGTCCCTCAGTGCATAAAGTCATAAATATTTTTTTCTTCCCAGTTAAAATCCTGTATCCCAAATTGCTTGCTCATAACAAGAAGAGTAATTAGAAAATAATCTTTAACGTATTTCCTACTATGGTTTTTCTAGTTCAGCTGTGCCGTTGCTTCCTTGTCTGTTTTAGATCAGAAACTTGTTGACTGTGAGTGTCATATGGGACAGGCTCCGTTCTGATGTTTAATGGTAATTAAGAACTCTGTTTCATCATGTTTAAAACTCTCAGTCTATAAAATGCACTGTATGAAACAGGACCCTTCTCACAATATGCTGAGTTATTTGCTGTACTGGTATTACCCTAGGCCTTAGTTAGAGACCTGTCCATGCTTTCCATCTACAGTACGGTGCAATTAGCCCCATTTTACAGAGGTAAATGGAGACAGAGGCAGGCAGCAGCACATCCATTGTTGGATGGTTTGGGCATTCAGCTGTCCACTAGGTCAGGCTGCAGACTGCATGACGGAGGATGTTTGTGATCTTCTTGTGTAGGAGGACATGTGAAGTTGTGCCATCTGCCAGTATGCAGCTCTTTGATGTGGTTGCATTTCAGCAGTTGTCAAAGGACATCCTGTATGTAGATGTTCAGTTGAAACAGCGGTGTGGTGTAAATACCCAGATAGATTACAGATGCTGCATACAAAGCAAAGCAGTGTAAAGACCTTTGGGCTAAACTTGGAATGAAGTGCTCTGGAGATTAATGAACTATGGTATCACTTGGGACACTGCTAATCTTCTCACTTCCAAAGAAAAAAGCCCTGGATAGAGATAATAGAGAATGTAAATATCTAAAACAGGTTACTGGCAGAAGTGAGGTCCTTAAATCCAAGTGCATGAACCTCAAATGCTCCTGTGTAATTCTTTACATACTTAAATTTTCATCTGTAACCCACTTCTTGATTTCTATCTTGTGCCTCTGCTATACCCTGATCTTCCACCAGCTTGGGTGGGTCTAAGCCAACCAGTGTTCATCTGCCTAAATTCACTTACAGTTCTCAGAAGTGACCTTCCAGAAACCAGTCATATTTGCCTACATCTGACCTCCAAAAAATGCAGTTTCAGCCACTTCCATCCAACAGTGTGGTTAGTAAACTAGGTTCAGGTGCATGCCCGTTATCTCACAGGTCATTCAGTTCATACTCCTCTGGTCTTTTAAAAATGAGCTGTGTCTTGCAGTTCACTTTGGATAGGACTTGATTTCAGAGACCGGGTTTGGGTGATGAATCCCTATGTGACTTGGGTGCCTAAGCTCTAAAGGAGTAGTCTGTAAAAAAAAGAACAAGAACAGAGCTGGTTTTCATACTGGCTGTACTTAGATAGCCTGCCCTACTCAGCACACGGCTGTCTGAATCCTTTCTGAACCACCAAACTTTCTAGTAGTGTGCTCAAGTCCTGGGCAAGTAGCTCAGCCTTCATATTCTACTCCAGCAACCAGGGCTGTCTAAAAGCCTCCATACACCTTTGAGGCTGTTACTATCTCAGTGGGACCACTCCTTCCCAAAGGGAGTCTCTTTGAAAAGTAAAATGGAGAGAGGAGGGAGAAAAGATTTCAGTGCCTTGCACCAAATGACATACTGCAAAGCATAAATGTTCTGTTTGGGAACAACAGGCTATGTGTGAGCCTGCTATATGGTGTTCAGAGAGTTGGAGATATTTTTCCTGTGACCTGTGCTTGCAACTTCCTCTCTGACCTCATTGACAATAACATCTGGATCTGCCCGCACTCATAGTTCTCTACGGAAGACAGCTAGTGTGACAGGAGAAAGAGGGGTTTCTTTCCCTGTTGCTCTGTTTTGAGGATAGCTTGCAGCTGTGCTTGACTGGAAGGAATTTACAAATCTCGTGTACGATGGTCGAGAAACATTTCCTCTCCTGACTTCATCATGTCTATCTTCATACACATAGTGGCTCATAACTGGGAATTCTTCAGTTCCAATCCTACTGGCAACAGACAGAGGGGAAAAAATAGATATGAAAGCAATGCTTTTTCTTTCTATCTACAGGCAGGTTGGAGATGGACAACACTGCATCCACCTCAGCAGTAGAAGAGTTAATTATATCTGTGAAGAAAAGTGTGTTGGAGCCTCTCAATGTTAGAAATAGACCAAACCAGAACAAGTAAGTGCTTCAGAGTACATCATCCTTTCAAGTACTGGTGTTGGTGAGATAAGAGATAATACTTATTTGAGAGGAGAGAGAGAGAACATACATTGCTTGTAACTTGAGGGCAGAGAATCTTAGGGAATAACCTTTCTTCAGGCATGTCATTTCACTCCTGTTGGGAGTGCTTAGCTTACAATTAAGTCTGTGATGAGACAGTGTGTGTGGGGGTGTGTGTATGTACGTACAGCACAAAGCCTATAGTTAGTACACAGAACTAAATGTTTTGTTCTGGTGTCCCAAAGGTACACAGCCTCTCAGCACTCATTAATTTCAGTGGATGTGAGACCTTTCAAAGACCTGGATTCATACAACAAACTTTTCACCACAGGCTTTGGACCGCTCCTTTCATTTTGCTCATGATGCAGTAGGAACTCGGAAACCAGCTCTGCATCTATTCATCAGCTGCAGCATGAGCCCTTTTTATTAGTGCCTTTTGTGGCAATAGCTGTGATCTATTTAAAGTGCTAAGCCTTCAAACTGCAATTCCTTGCATCAGATGTACTAGAAGCAGATATCCATGGAAGAGAGAAAGTGAGTCAAAATGAACTCGTTGTGTTGCTGCTCAAAGGCCGGGCTCCATCCCAATCAGCGACAGTTACCCAGCTCCTGCCATGTGAAGATGGGCTTTGGCACCTCCTTTGGTGGTTTGGGGGGTGGAGGGAGGTGAGGTTTCCTGGGGAACTTCTGCTGCAATTTATATTCCCTGCTTCATATTCACTCTCTTTCATTTATTCCCCTCAGAGAGCATTCAAGGAGAAGGAGACACTGCTGTGCTTGCCTAGCTCCGCATCCTTATAGACGTCATGGCTAAATCCGTGTGGCATGACTGGCAGCCTCAGTCCTAAGTTAACAGCAAAGTCATTCTCAGCTCAGCAGGTGGTCCTTAAACATGAACTTTAAAGCTGCATGGGCGGGTAAGTGTTGTAGGAAACTGGAGGGGCTCAGTCAGATCCTTTTACAGGAGAACCTGCTGAGATGTTTTGGTTTTGTTTTGTTGTTTGGTTTTGTTTTTTTTTCTCTGTACTAATCATGTTATTTAACTCTCATCCTCTGCACTAGACTGATTGGTGTCAGAACTGGCCAAGTGCAGGGTTTCTCTGTTTGGTGGGATACCACAGAGGGCTATTAAGAATTCTGGATAGTAAAAGTTTGGCTACAAATTCCTATGTAAACCATGGCTCATATTCATCAGAGCTGTTCCCCCTTAGGCTGTTCCCATTGGGATGAGACTGGAGCAAATGGAGAAAAAAGCAGAAGTGGTACTAGGTATGCACTGTGGAGGCATAGTGGTGTCCTTGTGGTGTGTCATGGCCATGTAATGAGTGGTGTCCCTCAAGGGTCCATACTAGGACCAATACTATTTAATATTAATACTATTTAATACAGAGTGGGATTGAGTGCATCCTCAGCAAGGTTGTGGGTGACACCAAGCTGAGTTGTACAGTTGATACACTAGTGGGAAGGGGTGCCATTCAGAGGGACCTTGACAAGCTTGAGAAGTGGGCCCGTGTGCACCTCACGAAATTCAGCAAGCCCAAGTGCAGGTCCTGTACCTGAGCTGGGGCAATCCCCAATGTTAGTTCAGACTGGGTGATGAATTGACTGAGAGCTGCAATGCAGAGAAGGATTCCCTGTCCATGGCAGGAATGTTGGAATATATGATCTTTAAAGGTCCCTTCCAACCCAAATAATTCTATGATTTGATGTCTCCTTTCCCTAGTGGCTTGTCGCTCTGCTTTTCCACTCTGTCCATGTCATTAGTGCCTGAATGAATGAAATTATCTCACCCTCAAACAGGAAACAAGAAATAAAGTATTTAAGTACCATTCACAGAACTATAAAGTACTGTAGCATCATGGCTGCAGTCTTATTCCTGTAGGCCACATGCTGACATGGCAGTTATAAGAACAAATACGGTTTATGCTTGCTCAGAAGAAATTCCTGAAAGGCACATCTACCTCATGAAGGAAAAAAAATGTGGCTGAGAATCAAAATCCTAAATTCCTAGTTCATGCATAGCAATAGAAAGGCATTTTTGTTTGGGAGAGGTGTTGGCCACAGGAAAGGAATAGCTACATTTTCTCCCAGAGAAAATCCCCAAAAGGGATTCCGCTGTGTTTTACCAAGCTTTGTGAGGCTACTTCAGGAGACATGAGCTACTGTCAGTATGATATAACCAGACTAGAGAGCCACCTAGACTAACCAAAGATGGTTGTACCCTTGCAGCCATGTTGTTGGTGTGTACCATGCTCAAGTAGCCTGTGGTAGAGGGGACCATGCAGTTCACAAACAAATGGTGAACATCATGAGGGCTCAGAGTGGAAGGATGAGATCACATGATATGAAGTTTTTCTCTATTCTTGAGTTGTGCGCTGTTGTCTCCTAAGAAAATTCCTTTTATGGAGTAATTACTGCACCTCTCCAGTACAGTCTAAACTAATTGTTGTGACAACACTTGTTTCTTTGTTGTTGGCTTTTTTTTCCCTGAAATACTTCTGAATAATTGGGATTTGGCCTGTGACAGAGCCAGGAATGGGAAATTATTTGCCCACCCAGGCTGCAGAGAAAGATTATGAATGTACCAAACTTAGTCAAGTTGCAATTTGAGTCACAACTGGTACCACAGCACAACTGACTCAAGAAGCAGTCCTCTGGGGAACTGAGCAAGGAAAAATAAAAAAAAAAAAAAAAAAAAAGCTTTAACTAGTAGTGACTAGTTCTAGTTCTTCTTTCACTTCTTTATTTCCTTGAGATGTTGTCACCTGCATTACTGGAGGAGATGCTGTTTGGCCCAAGTACAAAGAACTTCTTCCTCAGTCCCCCAGTAAATCCTAAAGTTCTTTTCAAACCAAGACAGATATGTGACTCCTGGTTCAGACTCTTTAATCCACTCAGATAACTGTTTCTGCCCAATGTTCCAGGTGTAAGACACCTGCTCATGCAGCAGCATCTAGCCAGATGTTGGGCATCTGGTTAGACACTGAAATGAGAACTTGGGTGGGGAGAAGGACATTTGTATCTTCAGGTTCACCTGCTTCTTGACCACAGACATGGCAATGGGCTATGTCAGTTCCACATTTGGATGGCTGGCTTCATAAGTTCATTATACATCATCTTTCCTATATTATACAGCCTTCCACAATACATCTTTTGTCTGAAAAGGAAACAAAAAATGTCCTTTCTCAATGAAGAGCTTTTAGTCTTTTTGAGGTATTACTTTTATTATGATTGGTGGAGGTCTTCTGACAGTGTGTTTGGACAAAGCACAAGACACCAAAGATTAGTAGTCCCTGCTCCACAGAGACAACCTTGCCAAGCTGGCTTTTTCTTCCACTGAAGGCTGCACCATGACCATTTCCCAATAAGGTAAAAGTAATCTGCTTCATACAAATGTGACCATGAGTATAATTCCTTAAGATACCTGCCTGTTCTCTTCTGGAGGTTTGCTTTTGCATAGACATGACTGTTACATAAAACCACATGCAATTTTGTAGAGAAACTTCTAATAGTCCTCAAGAAAAGCTGTGTGTAAGCATAGCCTGCCTGAAATGCAGTTGTTGCCTCCTGCTGTTTCTCTTCTAGGTGTAACTTGCTCCAGAAAAGGCCATTCACTTCAAAAAAGACAGACTTTGGCTCATTTTCTTCCAAACGCTACGTCCTGTTGCACAAGGTAATGTGGCATTATTTCATTACATGAACCCATACACGCAAGACAGCTTTAAACTGTACACAACCAGCAGCAGTCAAACACAAAATAACTCAGGTGGATCTACCTGTTCTCCACACGACTCCTTTGAGTGGTCCTGAAAGACAACGCATTGTATCTGTAGGTATAGACACTATGGTGCAAAGGACTTCAAAGAGTGATTCAAGCAGGTAGAAGGTGTCAGGATATGAGGCAGGTTGGCTTGGTTACAGAGCAGCTGTGGAAATGAGACAAAGATTGCAACAAACTGAATTCAGTCATTGATAAAAAAAAGATATGACAGACTGAACATTAGCTTAGTTATGAGTTCAATTCAAAGTTTATGGAGGGAAATTCTTTAGCTTTGCTGTATTGAAGGACAGACAAGATGACCTCAGATGTTACAGAAGATCTCTACTACTTTCTAAAGAAAAAAACAAACCTGTTTTTCTAGTTTAAGACCAGAAGGGCCACTATAGCACTTCCAGAACTGTTGATTGAGTTAACCTGGAGAGGACAGAGCACTGGATGCAGACAAAGCAGGAGATGTGGAACAACTCCTTATGTTTTGTCCAGGGCACATTTGCACCGATGTCATAAAGAAATAATAGAAAGTTTGAAGTCTTATTCTGTGGGAAATTTTGGAGTAAATGTTGCAATTCCCTTTATTCTCTCAGATTTTAAGAAAAGATTTTTATGTGAATTTGTGATGGAGAAGCAGAGGAAACAGAAGGAGAGATATTTTCTCTAGAGGATGCCACACCTGATGCCATGCCATATGGCAGCCCATATTACACCACTGGGGTAGAGAACTGTAACGCCTCAGAGGATCTTAAACCCAGACTTAGATCCTGGTTCGATGGGAGGCTGCTCTCCAGTCTAAAGTTACCTTTTCTTTGGCAGAAACAGCAGCACCACCTAAGAAACCTATGGGCAGGAGGGAATTTGCCTTCTCTAAAGAATTTGAAATAAACTTCTAAGGAGATCAGATGAAAGAAAACTGCATGGAAGAGTTTATTTTCCTTAGGTCTTTACCTTTCTCATTTATTTCAGAGTACACAAGCAATTCCTTTGCCAAATCCGACTTAACGACATTGTCATCTTTGAAGAAAAGAACCAGAAAAAATAATCCAAAGAAGATAACTGCACTGTAAGGTATACCAAACATGCTGGGGTAAACATGAATGTTGTGTGAGGGGTGCTGAGTTATACATATGATTTTTGGTTGATACTTCACTCCATGTGGTAGATATGATGGGTGGGATTGCCACATTTTTGCAGTCAAGCAAAACAGCATCAAACCATTCTCTGGGGAGAGCAGTGCTCCTACTCTTTCAGCCTTCACTCATTACATTGAGTCCAATGACTAAGAAGGTCAAAACCAATTCATTCAGAAATGAAGGTACTAGACCTTTCTTTCAGTTCTGATGCTGCATTTCAGGACTATGGAATAAAGCTTGAGAACTTATTTTCACCATCTTCTCTTCCCAAGCTTTGGGATCCTTATAGTTTCTCCAAATGTAAGCTGAGGTGAGTGCAGAGGACTGATTGGCTGCTCGCAGGGATTTTATTTTGCCGTCCCTCTTGCTTTGACCAGAATTTCCATGCTGGGCCATGGAAACCCTCCTGTAACACTGCCAAGGCAAGCTGCCCATGGCTGAAAACCTTACCGCTATCTAATTTCCTAGTTGAGAATTTGCCCACCTGGCATACACAGCAAAAGAGTTTAGTTACTAGGCTTTAGTTACCAGGCTTTAGTTTAGTTCCTTAGGCTTTTAGTTACCAGCACACCACTGGACTTCACAGTGGTAAAAGCAGTTTTCCTTGAAAAACATGAGGTTTTGCAAAATGACAATTGCTAATCTGAACCATTTGTGTCAGAAAATTCCTCCCTGGTCCACTGGGAAAGCTGGGCTGCTGGGAGCCCTGCACTGTGCTCAGCTTTGGGGGAGGGTTGGGGTAGAAATGCCTGGCCCCAGGAGCCACCATGTTTGCGCAGCTGCGCTCCCCTGGCCTGGGGAGCAGGGAAGATGGGAGGAAGGCACCTCTGTGCCCTGAGTTATGCGTGGTCTTGAGGTACTTTATGTCAGGGGACCACTTTCAACCCAGCTGCACTGGGGTCACGGCAACGTTTTCCACTGTCACTAGAACGATGGAAAGTCCTGCACTGGTATTTCCAGGGGACTGGGAGGGTGCAGGACAGAGGTGGGTCCCCTGCCTCGGTGGCCTCTCGCTGGTGGGGAGCCGCCACAAGATGGCGCCCTGGCACCTCGTGCCCCCAGCATGCCCTGGTGGGAAGCTATGGCGGCTGCAGGTACCAGGCCTGGCTAGGCTCTCACCCCACAGTCCCACAGCACCCAGACGGTCTCCCCGGTTGTTGACCTGTCACCACAGCTTTTTGTGTTTTTTTTCCTTCCATTATTTTTTTACCCCCCCGCCCCTTTCCACCCTGTGGAGCTGTGCAGAGGTCTCTGGTCAAGGCAGGAGGGGAAAGCAGCAGGGGAAAATGCACTGCCCCATCCCTCCCTCCATCCCTCTGGTGCCCACACCTCCCCACCAGGCACAGCTGGAGCCCTTCTCCTGCGCACTGGACCCTGTGGAGCCACTCTGGCAAAACAGAAGCCCAGCGAGGCTTCTAGGAGGCAGGTTGACTGTAGGATAATGGCTTCCCATGGGTTTGTAGACTCCTAAATATTTCTGAGGTTACTGGCAGCGTGCTTTTCCCTTACTTCTCTTGCAGTAATCACAAATCACCCCTGGCTGTGGGCTGGCAACAGCCCAGGGGGAGCACCTACAGTGGGGGCCAGCAGGTCCTGATCACATGCTGATATCTAGATGGCTCAAATCCATATTAAGTGTGGTGAAGAGGAACTAACTCTTCCTTCTCCTTCTTCCCATCCTCAGGCACCTGTGCCCTCAACACTGGCCTCTCCTTTGTCATCGTCCTGTACCAAAGTTCGTGTGTTGGTGGACCAAGGAACAAAGAAACGCAAGAGGGTTGAAATCCTGGTGAAAGCTGGTGCCAAAAAGGTGGGAAAATGTGAGTCCAGTGCTGCTGTCTTCAGCCCAGTCCTCCTGCAAAGCATGCTTTTCCAGAAGCCTTTTCAATTCCCACGGGAGGCCTGAGGAAGCTGGGGACCCTCACCTCTATCCAACCCCATCACTCATTGAAGAACGGTAATCAAAAAGATGGGTTGACATAGTGCTTAGAAGCATAGTTTAGTAATGGGTGTGTGTGGGTGGATGGGTGTTTGTATGGTTTTCTTTTGCTTTTTTTTTTTATCAGAGTTAGGTTGATGGTTGGACTAGATGATCTTAAAGGACCCTTCCAACCTAGAGGATTCTATGTTTCTATGATCCTGGGCCACTGAAGGTGGACAAGCCCAGAAGAAAGACATAGCACCCAAACACCCTAAGTAACCAGACCTACCTAGCATGCACCTGCTCCAAGAGGCTTCCCCTTAATCTCTCCATGTGTCCTGTTGTCTTCACCACCTCCAAGGAATGATTATGTGTGAGGGGTGCAGGAGACTCTTCTGGGAAGAAGGATCTACTTTGTGAACTCTCTGCCTTTTTTTCCTTGTTAGAGGTCATTTGATTTGCCGCTGGAACTGTTGAATGTACTTTCTCAGGGGTGTAAACTAGACCATTGCACTAATCTCTTCTCATCTTAAAACTTTTTGCTGCTCTTTATCATCCTTAAGAGCACTGGAAAGCTTGGGGGGGCTAGTTTTGAGGTCTTCTGTGAGCCTCTGCAGCTTCCCTTAAAAATAGTTTTTAGAGCCCTTGAATTATAATGGCACATAAGGCTTTGGGGCAAAAGATGGAGTGGAAAATCTGATAGCTGTTATACTATTAAAAACCCAAAAACAAATAACAGAGACTGTTCCTTCTACATACAGGGTTTGGTGTATAGGAGTTTACTGAGTCAGTTAAAAATAAACCAATCCCAAACTGACTACCATGAAAAGTCAGTTTAAAAAAAAAAAAAAGCGCATATAAACTGTAGGAAACAAAATGATTTTTGGAAACATATTTTCCCTTAATTGGGCATCTGTTTCTGGATGGAGTAATTTGTGTATGGAATCCAGCCGTATGGCTTTTGTTTGACAGTGAAATGATCAGTTCCTCAAAGTGTGAATGTCACATGGAGAACCCCATCACTGCCTAAAAAAGGACTCCTGCCCTAGCAGGGCTTTGTCAGCAATGTCAGAGAGTGCAGAATCAAGCTGCATTGTAATCCCTAATTGTATGTCATAACATAATGGCCTTTTAATGGTAGTGATGGCTTTGCGGGTTGTAGTTAGAGCTCCAAGGAGGGGGTGGACTCCCACGTGTTAGGTGCTGCAAAGAGCTGGCATAGTATAGGATATGTTGCTTTTACAGACCTTACAGGAAAGGCAAGTTGAGGTGGGTCTGAGTACAGGCATGCCCACTGTTGTTTGACTTCCAGGTGTCTCTTGGTATGGGTATTTGGGCTTCCCTGTATCCCTCTGCAAGCATGCTTTATCCTCATAGTGTCTATCTCAATGATATTAACAGCCTAGTTTTGCAGAAGGTGAAACTCATATACCAGTATAATTAAATCTCTGTCCCATTGCAGACAGGACTTTCCCTCCTTTTGCTCCAGAAGTACTGACTCCAAATGCATTGAATAATTACTAAGCTACGCTGACATTTCTGTTACACTCTAGTCTGAGGCATAAATTCCATTTCTTCATCTTCAATCAGATTTAATTTGGCACCCTCCAACCCACCTCCCAACTCCATAACATGCAAATTAACCCTCCACACAGGGTGGTGACCACAACTCCAATTCTCAGGCATGCTTGGGCTTTGGAGAGATTCCAGTTTAGATCTTTGTAGCTCAGCACCATTTCTAGCTACCACGTCACCTCTCCTTAGACCGACCTTTAGCAAAAGCCTTCTGCATTGAGCTTCCAAGATGTTGGCTGTCAACGTGCAGACATGAAAACCAGCCTCCCACCTCCCTCCCCCTTCCTTCCCTGCCTCTGTATCATACTGCAGAGTCTCTTGGGCTCATGCCACGTGGAGCTAATCCCATAAAGATGATCTAGCTATATCTGGCAGATGGATATTGATCACTTGCCTTCGCAGGGACCCCCCACAAGTAGCGTAATTTCCCAGTATATTCCACCACCCCCTGACCCTGGACCATTTCATTGCCATGACATCTCACAGTGCTCCTAAAATCAACCTACCTTCTCTCTTCCCCTCTGGTAAACTAGACCATTTTTTTCTTATGAGAAATAAAAGGAGCCATGAGTCCTTCCAGGGAAAGATGTTTTCCTCTCCTCCCCCCTCCACCTACATGGCATGAATCTTAGGCTGTATTTCACAGGTTTGATTTGAAGTAAGTTTCTTACTGCTGGCAGAATCTGCCTCCGCGCCCTCTCTCCTCATTCGGTGAGTGACACTAATCAGTGGTGTGGGAGGCAGGGACAATATCAAGCACTGAGCTGATTGACAAGTCTCACTCAGAACGTACATGTACCCTAATAGATATGTGAGGGTGAAATAGAGTGGATCTATCAATCTCTTTGTATCATTGCCCATAGCTGGCTGCAGTTCTTCATTGAAATTAATAGTTCACTGAGTGGAGAAAAATAAACAAACCAAAATTCCCCCCTATCCCCCCAAGCCCTATTTAGTGAAGGTTTTTGGGTTTGGGTTTTTTTTTTCTCCCCTGTTAAATGAGCAAATGCCTCCATATTAATCACAATATGTAATCGACATGAAAAATCAGGCCCTGCTGGGCAGGGAAAGATACTTTGAATTATCTCAGCAGGAGAGCTGGCACTAATTTACTGCTGTTGTGCTCCAAGTACTTCTGATACAAAAGATGAATGGAGTTGAAGGTTTGTAGCTTGACTTCCAACTACATCTAGTCTTTTTGCATAGCATCAGCAGGGCAATGTAAATTGGCATGAGACCCTTGAAGCACGGTTAGAGTCAGCAACCTAGTCCTGTAGGACCTGCCCTCATGCCTCATTTTCTTTTTTTTTTTGAACAGGCTTCCTTCCCTCCTCCCCACTATCTATTTTTTGCCATGCCAGAGACCTAAGTGTAGAAATGCTCTGGTGTTTCTCTGCAGTACCTTCCAAAAGGGTGAGTTTTATGCATGTTCTAGATTATTTCCATGACTTTGCCAGTGGGCCATTTTGTAAGCTGAGAGAGCGAGCTGAAGGAAGCAGCCCCAGCTCTGTTTATCGAAGCGATGTGAAGGATGATGTTTCATACTACAAGCAGGTTACATTGGAGGTAAGGCAGGTTCCAAACCCTGTAACCTTTTCTGCTCTGGTTCTCAAATAGTACTGTAAGCTACAGTTGTACTAGAAAATTAAATGTGAGATCTCTCTCTGGCACTGAAACCAACTGGAATTTAAAGGTCTGCATTCACTCCATTAAACCTCATTACCCTCCAGAAGTGGGTGGCTGCCTGCAAATTCCTTGTGAGGAGTTATTCCTGTCCTGGGGTAAATCACAAGGGACACCTCCTTGGTCTGGGTCAAAACTGTGACAGGGAATGTACAAACAATGTAACATTATGGGTGATTCAGTTCTGAGGTCTGGGAAGAGGCCCTGGCAGCATTTAATTTATTAATATAGTCATGGCCTTTGGGTATTTGATTTTGTAAAGCTTCTAACACAACTGCCACCTTTCTTCTGTGCTGGGATGATAGAGGACCAGAGAAGAAGGGAAGATGAAGGCAGTATAAGCCCTGCTTGACGGGAACAACAAACAAGAGCAGGTAGGAATCTCCTGTACAGTATCTCCATCTCTGCAGGGCAGAGCCTCACCTCCTGCAGGAGAACACTAGAGACCGCAATTGCCCAAGTGGGAAACTCTCCCATCTTTCTTTGAGGCTTCTGTTTCTTAGTCTCCCCCTGCCTGAATGTGTGTTTGCCATTTCTGTGAGGCGGCAGGAGCTGGGAAGCTGCGCTTCCCAGGCTGGGGAAAGAAGTCAAGACTTCTAGCCAAGGATGAGACTTGTACTTCCAACAGATAGATTGCCACTTTAACTACTGTTCAGCTTCTCAAGTTCTATGGTCAGATATAAAAGAACAAGTCTTTGGGCTATTAGTTTTCAGTGTCTTTGGTTCACACTCAAGATCAACACCTCCAGCTTTTTGGGCTTGGATCAGATTACATGCTAGTATGGGCTCATCTGGCAAGATGTTCTCCTAGCTAATTGGAGACACAGACACTTGTGATACATCACATGGGCTGGTGCTTTCGCATCAGCCCAGCAAGTCATAGGCCATTGGTGGTCAGCTACTACAGCTGGCCTGATGTCAAACCCCAGACCCCAGGAATAGCACTACTGGTCTGTTAGTTAAAGGGGATGACTGACATACTCATCTCCTTAGACATTTTTTTGTTCATCTGAGTTTGCTTCCCAGAGTTTCCTTTTTTCTTTCTCAGAATTACTTCGGTTTGAGTTGAAACTAAAGGCCATTTCCATTTTCCCTTCCCTTCCCTTCCCTTCCCTTCCCTTCCCTTCCCTTCCCTTCTCCCTCTTCCTGTCTTCTGAGAAAGAGAGTGAAGCCTGCAGACAGCCCAAGTGCAGGAGCAGAGCTCTGGAATGCCTCTCCTGGGTCACAGTGTCCATTTCCTGACTGCAGCAGCCTATCATGTCACACAAGCTCCTTCATAATGCGTCAAACTTATCTTTAAAAATAGTCAGGCTTCTTGTCTCTGGCCTCTGGTGCAGAGGCAGAAAACAAAACTTTTAAAACTATCCCAAAGAAACATTTCCTGTCCACAGGACAGACTTTACCAAACGACGGCTCTGTCTGCTTTATTTTTCTCCAGTTCCTGCACACTTTTTTGTGCGTTCTCTTCTATCCTCCTTTCAGACTCAAGAAAGTAAATTTACTCTAGCTGTTTTGGGGGAACCTGAAGATTGACTCTTGCCACCTCTTAGTCTGATCTTTTCAATATGCCCGGCTGCTCCCTCTCTGCCCCTCCTGGCTAACAGGCAGGCAGTGCATCCCACCATGGAGCAGTTTCTGGCGAAGTGCCCATGTTCAACTGGAGTCATGTCAAAGCATGGGCCACTTCGACATTTCCTGTCACAGTGGACAACTGTTGGACGAGTTGTCATGCGTCAACCTTTGTGAAGTTGCGACCTTGCTGGCCTCATGTCAAAGACTGGTGTGTCCTTAAAGCTACCCGGCTAGCTTGTTAGTGTGGTGCCAACATACTCTGGTCCCTTCTGAGGCTACTGACCCCAAAGCTGTGGACACAGCTGTGCTTTTCTGTAAGGACCCCAGGATTAGGCTGCTGGAACGGGGCACAGTTTATTCACTAAGTCTTGCATAACTGGCCTTGCGTAGCACCGCAAATCTTCCGCACTGCTCTCTTTTTGACTTCTCGCTTCTGAAGTTTAAGTGATTTAGGCTGGCGGTAGGCCACAATGGACTTGTGGGAGCATGCCATGAATCTCTTGGTGCATACCACAAGTCCCTTTTAGAGCATTCACCCAGGTTTCCTCTCTGCAGACCAAAAAAGTGTGGGCGACTAGCACATGCCTGATATAGGACATGGATAGGATAAGCAGTGTGGCATGGAAATTCAGAAAGACTCCTGTAATCTAGGCTTCTAGGCTTACACTTTACAGTACAGTTTCTAATGCTTTGCCTGGCACCAATACTTACTTGGGTGAAGAAGGGCAAACCAGGGGAAGACTCTCAGTACTGGCAGTCAATTGTGACTCATCATGACATGAAATGACATCTGATGGCTTTGTGAGATGGGACACGACATGTTGCAGAGAAGAGTCACTGTGCCATACGTATAAAAAGCCCTTTCTCTCCCTAGAAGTGCCTGAAGGCAATAGGCTCTGGAAACTACATCTATCAAGACCCTGGTAGCAGCCTTGAGCATACATGCAATGTCATGGGCTAAAAGCCATCAGGCAGTCACCAATGTGGCACTGCAGTACGCACCAACATGCAGCTGGGGAGGACAACCAGAGCACAGGGCCTGGCATGCAAAATGTGGAATACCTGGCAGTATAGACACAGAGCCATTTGGTTTCCTTTTGATTGTGGCTGAGCATGAAAAAAAAAGAGGAAGGTTTCACCTGAAGTTGAGCAGGACTAGAAATAGCAGGTGCTATCTTTCCTTCTCTGCACTTTTTGTGAAAAGCTGGAGGTGAACAGAAGAGGACAAGACCATTCTAGAGAAGAATAGCAGCTGACACAAGACTTAGCGCTAATTTAGAGATAATTTTCCCACTCACTTGCTAATGCCTTCCTACTGCCTCAGAGTGTTGGAGCACCGCCTCTACTCTGCACTGGTGAGGCCACAACTGGAATACTGCATCCAGTTCTGGGATCCCCAGTTCAAGAGAGACAGGGAACTACTGGAGAGAGTCCAGTGTGGGACAACAAAGATGATTCAAGGATTGGAGCATCTCCTTTATGAGGAAAGGCTGAGAGAGCTGGGACTCTTTAGCCTGGAGAAGAGAAGCCTGAGAAGAGGTCTTATTAATGCTTACAAGTATCTGAAGGGTGGGTTGAAGGAGGATGGAGCCAGATTCTTTTCAGTGGTTCCCAGTGACAGGACGAGGGGCAATGGACACAAGCTGAAATATAGGAAGTTCCACTCAAATATGAGAGAAAACTTCTTTCTGGTGGGGGTGACAGAGCCCTGGAACAGGCTGCCCAGGGAGGTTGTGGAGTCCCCTTCTCCGGAGATTTTCAAGACCCACCTTGGATGCAGTCCTGAGTGATGTGCTCTGGGCAACCTTGCTTTGGCAGGGGGGTTGGGCTAGATGATCTCTAGAGGTCCCTTCCAACTCTAACAATTCCATGATTCTGAGACCCCACATGCCTTTAGTCAAAACCAAACTGGCTCTTTTAGTTGTTATTGCTTCAGATTGTCCTTTAGCCAGAGAGGGAAAAGATAGTGGCAGGGAACACAGACCAGCCAAACCCAGGTAAGTGACACAGGTGATAGATTATGTCTGGACCTTCAATATCTCTTTTGCTTTAATTCCTGGTTGACAAAAAGATACCATGGGAAAAAGATGCAAAAACATTTCACTCTGAAATACGTTCCTTTTCTCAGTTCTTTTAAGAAACAGCAAGCTTCTCTTTTTTATTTTTTTTTTTTTAATGTAAATGAGTGGGAAATCAGAAGGGCCTCTCAGACAGTTCTTGTTTTACTAAGAAAACCTTCCCTACTCAAGCACCTCTCATGTAAAATCACTTATCTTTTCAGTTTTCTCTTTCAGTGGAAATTTGGTTCAGAACAATTTTCCTCCTGATAAATCTCAGTCCTTAAATGCTCCCTCTTCAGGGAACAATTTTGATAAAGTTGAGAAAGTACTTAAGTGAGCCTAAGCTCATCTCATTTTCAAAAGTCAATTCAGAGTCCGAAGTGTCATGGAAAATCAGCAAAACTCAAGGCTCCTTAATTAATGAGGTGCTTCTAGACATTTTCCTCTTTGGCATAATTCTTGTCTGACAAGAGAAAATGTGCTAGGGAAGATGTGTCAAGTCCCAAGAATAAGGGATAGAAAACATCCTAAGGCTCTCCCTTCCACCAAGAGTATTCACTTCTTATGGATCTGCTTGCTGTCTAGCACAGTAAAATGTCCTGCTCCTGCTGGGATGCTCTCCATCAACCGGGCTCTCTATCATCGGGAAGGGTTTTACCATCCATCTAAGGGAAGACCTTTCTCCAAGGATCATGTTGTGGAGGGAGGAAACAAAGTTTTAGGATACTGTGAACTGTTTTGCCAAAGGCTGTGCCAGAGGTATTCCTCTCTAGGAGATCGAAGTCAAATAACAGCTTTTGTGTGGGCTATAGCAGTACAAGAGGGCCACTGAGGAGAATCTCAACCCGCTCCGTGATTTTTCACTGCTTTCAACTTTAAATTCTGTGAGCAGCTAAAAATGTCTTCTATTCCATCAATTTGTATTTCAGAGGTGGGTAGATGCCCTGCTTCTAGCAGCATATGACCTATATATCTTTGTCTATATCTTTCCCCTGAGAGCTATGTGACATCCCAGCATGGCTCACAGGCTGGAGGGGAGCAGACATCCCTTGAGGCATCACCTGGTCACTAAAGGACAGGGTAGTCAGCAGGCCTTTGCCATGACTTGGCACGGCTGTTTCGCTTCAAACAGTGCATAACCCTTTACATCTGCTTTCTCTGTTGCAGTAAGTCCAGCTGAAGGAAGAGCACTACTATATTATACTGGATCTTGGTGCTGCTCCTGCCACAATGTAGTAGTTACAACGTCTCTACAGAAATATTTGGCTCTCAGATGTTAATTAGGAAAGTAGTGGACTAATATTGCAGATTCTGCCCTGACCTTTGTGTATAGTGGGACTTTCTATTTGTTGTGCCTTTGTGTATTGTCTGGTGTAATTGGGTCCTGTTCTGTGGGCAGGGCTCCATAATACAAATAAATACCACCATGAGTAATGACAGACCTTGTGTAACTGCCCCAAACTCGACAAAAGTTGCAAGCACTCTGAGTCAGTGCCATTGTGTAAGGGGATAATTTCTGCTTTGGCAGTGTTGTGGACAGCTAGAATTGTTCTCTCTGATAATTGCCAATCTGGATTTCTCCCAGATGGCAGCATCTCATAAAGAGTATCTGAGAAGAGCTCTGGTCCGCTCTCTAATAAGGCTCCACAAGAGAGCTGTTCATCCCTGTCACCCCTTATCCATTGCCTCAGGATAGCCTCCTGTCAATTTGCAGGACAAGTCTTTGCTCTGTGTTTATTTTTCCTTTTTCATTTTATTTCTTTTTAGAAACTTGTATTTATTACCTTGGCAATGAGCCACCCAGCAAGGAACAAACTGTTTTGTGTCAGAAAACATGAGACATTCTGCCCTGGACCGGCCAAAATCTATGCCACTGATCTTCCCTATGTCGTCCTCTAACCTCCCAGGTTGCGTTTACCACGGCTGTGTTTCCCTGCGGCACTCATTTCTCCAGCAGAGAGAGACTGAAAGGAGAGGTTACGCTGTGTATCCACCCAAGGGTCCCCGAGCAAAAACCTTTCTGCAGCACTCTGCCATTTAGCGCACAGGTATGTAGTGATTGAAGAGCAGGGGGTAGCCAGTGTATAATTTTAATCCTGAGGCTCCTGAGACTTGCCAGCTCAGCGGTTGCTGAGGAGAGCAAGACTGAAGGTAGTGCAAAAATTGGGGATTATGCAAAACGTAATTGCTCTCCTGTGTAGCTGGCACTGCAGCAGCTCAGCTCCTGATTGAGGTAATATTTGTTTCCGGTCTGCCTCTTCACCTTTTAACGTGTTTATCCATCATTTCAATACCCAAGTGCCTCGCAATCTAGAAGGTGTTTATCCTCTCTCAGCTCTCCTGTGACTGCTATTGGCCCTCTATCAGGGATGGGAAACCAAAATGCTGATTTATGTAAAGAGTTTGGAAAATGGTGGGACTGTTCCTACAGGCTGTTAAATCTTTGACCTGAAACCCGTGGTCCCTAACACCCAATTATTTTAGCCACCTTAACTTATTTTAACTCTGAAGCTCCTGGGAGCTTTGCAAAGACACTGAGGAATTAGGTGGGATCCACCACAACACTGGTGTTAGTGGGCTCTGAAATGCAAGCTCTGGCTCCACTTCTGGGAGTGTGTCTCTTGTGTTTCTCTTTTGCTTTGTTCCCAGTCTAACACAGAAAGACCACAACTCCCAGCTGAATAGAATTGTGCAGTTTTTCAGATAAGGTCTCAGTGTGTGAAGGAATTGTTTCTTGGAGTCAGAAATTTCTTCCCCTGCTTGTCATCACCACAACTGTAGAGGTTCTTTTCCATTTTTGCCTTATTTTTTAAACTTCAAAGTATGGACTCAAGACATATTGCTAAAAACAATTTAAAATATTCAGTGCTCTCATGTGTGAATTGGTGCTCTGTGCTAACTGCTGAAAGCTGCATGCTTGTGAGAGGACACTCTATTTGAATAAATGCAGTCCATATGAAATTCCTGCTTCAAGAGCCTGGAGGGAAGGAATGGTCTGGAGAGAGGGAATTTGCTTTCCTCTAGGTCAGAGTGATGTGAGGACAAATATTCAACCTGAAATTTATTTTCATTTATATTCTTTTACTTTGCTACAAAAATGTCCTGAAACAGAGTGAGTGACCTCATCCCTCCTTGTCTTCATTTTTAATCTGAACTAATCTTAGTTATCCATCCCAGCCGAAACACAGGACATATTTGCATAAATCATTCGTCAAATACTTCTGAACAATAAACAAATGTGCAAGAAACTGTTCATAGACAACTCACCAAAGGAGCTGTTTGCTGCAAACAGCAGCAAATCCCTTTGGTCCAGGGATCTTTGCGGAAATGGTCTAAAAAGCAGGGTCTGACATCAGAAGTCCTGTCTCTACTGTTAGTGTTCTGGCTGGAGGGGACCAGTGGACTACCAACCCTCCACTTGGAGGGTTGGGAGCATGCAGCAAGTATAGGAAGCCTAATGAAGTTTCTCTGAAGGAGTCTTGGGATCTGGCTCCATCACAGAAACAAGTTTGGGGGATCAAAATAACCTACTGGCTCAGCCACTCTATCCCACTACCAACCCCGTTACCCCTGTTGGCTATGTACATTTCAGTGTTTTTCCAAATGGGACTTTCGTGACATCTCTTAGAAAATTTGCCAATTGATTCCACTGCCCTAAAGTCTATGCTGCTCTTTTGCCTATGATTTCCTGCTTAATAATCTTGTTCCCACTGAGGTATCCCACTGTCCAACTCTAAAGAAAATGCTATCATCTCAGTTGTCATCTCCACCTTTCAAATACATCTAAGGCTTTTCAGCCAGCCTCTCTCAGGCTTTGTTTGCCTACATGGCACAGTTATTCCTTTCAGACTTTTCTTAAGGCTTACTCAAGTTTAGGCTCACATCCCTCCAGGCTCATAAAATGTTTTTTCTTGCTAGTCCTTGGCCTCCTTCCAAATTGTCAATAACTTTCTAGGAACATGATGCCTGGGACTCAGGACAGTTCTGCATGCTATGGATAGCCAATGATGGTAGGGGCAAGGAAAGGTTGATGATGTTGGCTGATGTTGTCATGAGAGCAAAAGGAAATATTTCTCTGGGAAGTCTCAGGCTCTGACTGTTCCAGATGGCGGTCTGTGAAGACACAGGGAAGAAAGAAGTAGAGCAAGGCTCACAGCTCTAACCAGACCTGAGTACAGAAGTCAGGTTGTGTGTTTCCCATGTCAGGTACTGTGCCAGGAGCAGTGCCCCAGCTTACAATAATATCATGGAAATTACTTTCTTATCTGTTGTAGCATATCCATCCCACGTCTTTACCAGACATATTGAGTGATCTACGAGCTGTGTCTGGCTGGTGGTTTTTGTTTCTCCACATAACAGAAACTGAAGAGAGGAAAACTTCCCATGAGGACTCAGAGGGGAAAGATCTAGGGCACAGCCACTGCTACTCATCTCCCCCCTGCAAATTCTCTGCTCTTTCTGAGTGCAGAAAAAAGGCTGTTGCTATAGAAACCAGTGGGGAAAATGTATATTATATCACGTTTTATATATTTTTCCAAGGAAAGCCTTTAATCTGAGCTTGCCACCATGTATTTTTACAGAAGCAATAATGCTAATAAACCCCCTAAGAGTAATAGTGATTTCAAATCAAATCAAATAATCATCACTTACTTCAAAAACACCTGTGCCTGTAACATTCTGCCCTAGCCAAGACACTGGGACAGGGCTAGCAAGGCAGCCCACAATATGGTACATGACAGGAGGGTAAATTTAAGGCAGCAAAAGGTGTGATGAGAAGTTGGGGGTGAGTCCTACACAGAGGTAAGTGGTGGTTAACATTTGAGGAAGGGCAAAAAAGCTAAATAAAATGTCTTCAGATTTGACTTGTGTGTAGAGAAGGATGAAATAAGGGTGAAAGGTACATTTTGTAGCATACACTCTAACCCACTGAACCCCCTATTGCCATTCTAACTTTGTGAGCCCCATTCTGAAGCTCTTTTCTGCTGCTCTTCTAAAAATTATCTCACCGTTTCCTACTTGCCTTTGTGATAATAACAAGCCCTTCAGACTCCCAAATAATCATACCTATTGCACCCTGGGGTCTCAAGGAGACAATGCTTTTTGTGAGACTGCACCATGAAAGCCTGTCTCTTGTGTTAGGCTGTCCTGGTGGCAGTAGTCCTCCTGGGGATCCTTCAGAACAGAAGCCTAATTTAGTCATCTGGATACCAAACCAGGCTTTGCTCTGCCCTTCCAACCCTCAATTTATTTTTTACTTAATTCACCATGACCACTATTTCCTTCCTGATTTGTACTGACCCTGTGGCTTAATTAGATTTTTGTCTTTATTTATAGTAGGTCCTAAAACGTGTTGACTTGTAATTTTGTCAGGACAAGGACTTTCTTGCTGTGTAGAGCAATGTACAAAATAAATCTCAGCCCTGTCTTGTTCCAGGGCTGTGATTGATCCTTGTCAGTTATATGCCCCTTCTCGTTGTCCTGGAAGTAAGTAAACAAAAAAAATCAGTGAGGCTTTGGAGGTTTTATACGCTGCGTATAGGACAAGGCAGCTATTGGAATAAAGCAACTTAATTATGCCAGGTAAGACCAAATAAAGGCATAGCTGCTTGCAGCATCTTTTCCAGACAGATCCCTTCCTTCAGACTTGTACTTCGTTCAGTGCATTTTCACGACCTCATGGGTTACAGTAAGTGCTGTGTAGGCCCCTTGACTCCCAAGGTGGGAAAAAAAGTAATTTTTCTTTCTACTGCCTCCAAGACTGGACTGTAGGTCTGCTCTTTGCTTCTTTCAGGGTTTCACAGTTTCTGCACGCATGTATTAGCTCTTCCCTGCTCTGTCTTACAGCCAGACAAGTTCAGTAGTCTGCAGGGAAGAAACAACTTCCCTTTCCTCTTCCTACCTTACCTCATGCCCGCTGTGCAGACAGGTAGCTTTGCTCCCTGTTTTCCAGTCCCACCCTTTTCACTGAGCATAATGGCTGCTAACTGTGAATAAACAACTGATACTGTCTGTTTTAGGGCGTGTAAGCACTTCTAAAGCCCAAATAATATATGAATATTAATAGAATGACTAACCATTTAAGAAAAGCAAAAAAAAAAAATATGTCCTCGGGACCGTGATAATCTAAGTTCAAAAGCAATTATCATCAGTAACAAAATGCAGAGAGAAGACTGGGATTACTTTAATGAGATTACCTGCTTATTGCCATTTGTTTCTGTGGGTGACTGTAGTGCTGCTTCACCTTCACTCCCAGCCAGTTTCTGAGATGCTCCTCACCCCGAGCATGGGCAGACCAAACTGAACACTGAAGCTGGGGCTCACTGGCCTTCCCATGGTATCCAGCGTATCTTTGTGAGTATTTTCTCCTTGGTCTTCAGCCTCCTCTACTCCTGCACCCTTGCAGTTACTGCAACATTGTTTTTCAGTACCCTGAGCCTTCATATCCATGGTGGAGAAGGCAGGAGTGAGAAGACAAGGAAGGGTAAGGAAAGCTGGTGTTTTTGTAGAGCTGGAAGGACAGCAGGGAAAATAGTTGTAAGGTCAGTGTTGTCAGGCAGAGGCAGAGGCTTGATGACTATGGAAGCATTTTAAAAATTCAACTTTATCCAGCAGATGAGGGAGAGTGGACATAGGCTCAGTAATGCAGCACATGGGCTATAGTGCAAGGAGTTTTCACTAGCTTCCTGGAGCCCCTTAAGCCAACCAATGACCAGTACACATACCCTTCTCCCTCTGTCTTCAATCCCACCATGTCCCCGTGGTGTGTGAGTGCCAGAGCTTGATCACTGGTACATTCAGCAGTCACACACTGGGGTGGAGAATGTGTAGGGAGGTAGGCTCCTGCTCAGGGACACCAAGAGAGTTGAGAGGCACAGATGGCGAGATGGAAAGACTGCTGAGAGCAACAGTAATGTCTCTGCAGAGACCACATTAAATTGCACTAGGCATAAGCACTCCACCTCTGTTGATGGAGAGAGCGGTTATCTTCTCATGTTGGAGGCAGCATGGGGAAGAATAACTGTCTGCTTCTGCTTG